AGAGAAAAAGAGAAAGAGAAAGAGAAAGAGAAAGAGAAAGAGAAAGAGAAAGAGAAAGAGAAAGAGAAAGAGAAAGAGAAAGAGAAAGAGAAAGAGAAAGAGAAAGAAAGCAAGAGAGAGAGAGAGAGCAAGATAAAGAAAGAAAGAACGAAAGCACGAACGTAAGAAAGAACTCAAGAAAACATGACGATAGAAAGACAAGAAAAACAAGGGCACACAGCACGCCTTTGTGGCCAGCGCCAGCTTTCTGTCCGCTTCCTTGTGGGACAACAGGAGTTGACGTTTGGCCCGGTTGGCTTGGACGAGAACCTGTTTTGCTGCGACTCCCATGCTCCACATCCCCATATCCGGTCATGCCGTATTCAACTTTGATAAAGTCTGCGTCGCCTATAGGACCTCTCGACTCCTTCAAACCGCCAGTCCATTTACAGGCCTTCTCGAACCGAAACGGCGCTGAAGGCAAGCGTGAATCCGAAGGCACCGAACTGGAACACCCTCATTTGCTGCGGCTTGGCATCCATCCTCTCATAGGGCTACGCGCCGGCCGCGGAGAGCTTGCTCACTCATATGGGACACAGGATGTAGGATACGGGGTACATGTAAGGGTTTGCAGCGGAGTTCTTTCTCCGAAACAGGCAACTCCCTCTTTTCTCCTTGTTGTGCGAAGCGTTTGACTATTTTTGACCTGCACGGCCTGAGGATGCAGACCTTTCCTTGTCCCGTTTGAAACCTCCAAATCGCCACCAAGCTCGCATCAGCGTCCTTTCCAATCTGCTCAACAGCACTCCTCATCCGCCTAACAAGCATATTAACATGGTGGTCCCTGTCAAGCCCCACTACATCACTACAAGTAATCACTAGAGTCCGCACACTGTTCTAAGCCGCTAAGCGTTAGGGCTTGAAGCGCTGAGAGAAGCAGAGTGATCGATTTTCCCACACGCACCGGAGGCCGAATCGCTCCTTGAGCCTGGGCATCCAGGAAACAGGGCTCTCAGCTTCCTACTTCTCAACTTCCCCCCAGTTTGTGGGCTCCTCTGTATTCGAAAGGATAGGGGCAGAGGGAAGCTTGTTGCTGCCGGGGGACACTCAGCCGAAGAGGTCGAAGTCCATCTCCTCCTCCTCTTCCTCCTCCTCGACCTGTCCGCGCACGCAAAAACAGACCATGAGGCAGATTCTCGTCGCTACTGTAACAAATCTGTAACGAGCACAAGATCAAACCCCCCGGACTCACCAAGGAACCCGAGTCCTGAACTCCCCTCAATTGAAATCCTGCTGGCTTCCGCTTTGCCTTCTTCTCCTCCTTCTTGGCCTCGCCACCACCTGCAGGCTTCGACTGCGCAGTCGCTTGCTGCAGTTCAGGGAAGCCTTCACTTGAGACTGTGTCGTGTTGACCACGCTCTCCTTCCGGTCGGCTCGTCGTATCCAGGGCTTGGGGCATGGGACTGGATCTTGGAGGTGCGGGAGTGGCTGTGGGAGCCATGGCTCCCCCGACAACCAGGCCTGCACCGGCGTCCGCAGCGCCTCCGCCGGCCACTGCGACACCGCCGCCGCCACCACCACCGAACTTCAGCATGCTGTCCTCAGCTCAAGGTGCGAGCAAGGTATTAGGTTGAAGTCTGTCGACCGGCAGCTTGTGGACCTTGACGGAAAGTTGTTTACCATCAGACCGCCTCCGAAGGGGTCTCTACCTTTCGGCGACTGCTTTGACTGCAGGCACCCTGGACTGGATCTCGACTGCAGCCAGGTGTCCAGATCCTTGCCTTGGCACAGCTTCGCGAACAGGGCCGGGAAGAAGGAATCGATGGAGCCACCAGCGGCCTCTCCGTGCAACTGTCTGCTCCCAAAAAGTCTCTAGTTTCCCCGAGACCAAAACCACGACCCTGAACCCCACAGCCAAGATCTGCGAAACCCGGGATCCCGATGTCTGTGGCTGGGTTGAGGGACGGTAATGAGGCCTTGATCAACGTGTTGAGGTTCTCCTCCGTGATGTCAAGCTCGCTGTCCTCCAGCTGACAGGGGCTCTGCTGTCATCTGATCGGACTTTTGAGGCACGTGACTTGAACCCGAGTTTTCGCCCTTGGGCTACTGACGCTCTGAAACTGCCTGCGCCTGGTGGACCGTATCATTGGGGCAACAAAGAAGCACCCTGGTCCGGGTCAGCTCAAGCACGAGCTGATTCAGCTTGGGTGTCTTCGACCACTCAATGCATCAGATTTGCCGATTAGGGCTGGCGGTTTGATTTTGCTTTCGCTATTCGGGTTGAGGTCGGGGCTTGGAGCAAGGATGTCCTTCAGGATCATAGCGGCATAAGCGCAGAAGAGCTCATCCTTCTCGGCCTAGAGAAGCACTGCTGCACTGAGCCGCGGAGTTTGCATCATCTACGTAGAACCTGGGTTCTTGCACAGCCCGGCCACAGGAGGATGACTGCACGCACGATCACGCACGTGATGATGGTGATGAGGATGAAGAAAATTGCGAAGACGCTTGCGAGGATGACGAAGATGATGCTCAGGATGGTGGATGAGGAGGAGGAGGCTGAGGCTGAGGGTGGTGCGGACCGCTGATATTAATGAACAAACTGATCACGGTAACGGTGAGGATGAGAACGAAAATGAAGATGATTCTCATACTGAATGCTGATACTGACGATCGTCTTGTTATCAGCTCTAAAAGCCTGGCCTGGGGAACTTCGGCTGCAGGGACTTCCGCCATGGCTGCCAGGGAGGCCGGGGGTGCGTCGGAGAGTTCGAGCCGCTTGCAAGCAAAGCCGCACGCTCGAAAGTTACAACATGCCGGTCACCTTACGGTCTGACTGTGGGATACGGATTCAGTCTTTGTTTTGCAGTTTGGTGTTTTAGGGTTTGGGGTTGTTTGAATTCAGGGTTTCGGGATTCTGGGATTTGGTTGCACGCGCCCTCGAGTCCACTGCATCCTGCCATAACTAGGGGTCGCATACGTTGAACATCAGCCTGCCCTGCTTGCGCCCGCATGAGCTAGCCGAAACCCCAAACCTTATCTACATTCTCCGTAGCCTTGTAGTGATGATAATATGGGAGTTTCCCAAAATGAGGAGAGTCCTTATAGTAAGGACCCTACTATTTAGGGCACTGCATTAGGGTCCCCTACGACCCGGAACCCCCCACCCTAAACCCCAAACCCCATACAGGTGTTATGGTATCTTTCCCTCATGCAAGTACTATGGCCCTAAACCCTAAACCCTAAACCCTAAACCCTGAACCCTAAAGCCCAGGCCCCAAACCCTAAAACCTAAACTGGTATCAGGGTCCCATGGGACCCTCGGCTCGGGCTCTAAAGGATCCAACCCGGCCTCGCTGTTCCACACGATGGGCAGGAAGAATGCTTTCCAAATACCTGCCGCAGAACATGCATTCATAGCATGTCTTTCATACATACATATGGCATATGTATATACATACATACATACATACATACATACATACGTACATACATACATACATAAGTACATAGATCTATTTGTTTGTATCGATTTAATTTTGTTCATGTATATCTAGCTGCTTGTATTATATCTATATTTGTAATTCTATATATGATCAGCCAGTGGTAGACTGATAGAGCAGCACGACCACCATGACCAAGACGACCACTGCAGGACGACCATGACCACCAGGAGTCCACGAAGAGCCCGGCATAGATCACCAGGAGACCACCCAAAAGATCGCCAGCAGACCACTCCGACACCTTTTCTAGGCGAGCATCATAAAAACACAAGGACCACTACCCTCAAAGTACTTCCCCCATGTATTGGTAGGATTAAGCGTTGCAGAAACACGCAGAAGGCACCGCGGGCAAGACACTTCCCCTCATGTATTGCCCAGCTTCCGACGTTTTCACCCCACACTCTGTACCACATTCGTATTGGGAAATCATTGCCATCCAGAACCTTTCCACCATGCTGTGCCAATGCTGATACAAGCAGCAGCACACCCGTTCTTACCCCATCGAAATCCTCACCGTTGTGATCTGATCTTTGTAGGGTTCATGCCAGGTCAATCCGAGAACCCTTGAAGTTGCTTCAGATCCAATGAGAAGCGGCTAGGGCACCATGCTCTTGTGGTTGATGCACGCATCGTTTGGGCCTGGCACCGCAAAGTCATGTCACACTATCTGCAGACTGCGTGATAGGATGGTTGTCAGACAATGCCTACACTTCCTGCAGCTTCTGAATGTGCTTCATTCTGGCGAACCGAGGTATGCCCTCGCTCCTCACACAAGAACTCATCAAACACTCAGTGTAGCCAGGCTCCGCGCATTGCCAGTCTCCATCCATGCCACCCTGCTATTGGCGATGCGGTGAAGGGAATGACAGGAATCACATTTAATTTATGTACGGGTCATAAAGCGTAGTAGTCAAAGCAGAGCCTCAGCTAAGCCGGTCAATGCAGCACCTGAACATTGCTGTATCGCGCGGCTGTTCTGCCTGCGAGCCTTTCAATGACAAGTATGTTGTGCGAAGCATCCCTAGGTTTGACGAAATCAACCCTCAGGCTGCAAGATCAGCCAGATGGTAGCCATACCTGCCCTGCACACCCCAGTGTCCAAGAACAGCCAAACTCTCTTGAACTCCATGCCTGGCCAGACATTGCAGCCATGGCCTTCACTTGAAGGCGCAGGGGCTTGGAGTTGCAGCCACAGGATTCAGGGCTTCCGATCTTTATCCAGACTCCGGGATCTTAGAACCTTGCGTCTACGGCGCACTACCCCTGTGCACTCAGCTTTTTGTGAGGGCTGTTCAGGGTGAGTCCTAGGCAGGGTTTATATAAGGCATGAGCTCTGCAAGGCAACCGTTCGCGGGGCAGGGAGGAAAACGACCTGAACCTCCGCAACGACAGCCTCTGATAGACACCGCGCACCTGAACTGCACAACTCGTTAAGAACGAGAATGAAACCCAAGCAAATCGTGAGCAGCAAACCTCCGAATAGAGCGTGCTTCTGGCTTTATGCATGAAACGAAAGAGCATGGCCTGTGCAAAGCCGGCGAAGGAGGAGAAGTCCATGCCACCACCTCTGCCACCACCGGATGCCTGCACTTGTACAGCGCTGTGCCGTTTGCAGGATGCAGCAACGGCTTCAGACAGGAGTGTGATTTGAGGTATCAATCGACATTGAAAACAGCAAAACTTCTTGCAGTAATACCCTACATTGGAAAGTAAATAGGGCCTTCGGGAATTGCTAGGGCTCGTCGGAGCTGCCAGCTAACCATCATCGGCAGTGCAGGGCTGCAGGAGCTCGGAATTTCATGCGGCATGTTCCTATTGCGAGCTCCTCGTGTGAACTCATAACGTACCTTTACCCGGAAACCTTGCGCCCGAAACGGGTTCTTAACATCCATGACCCCAAATACCCTGGCATGACTCAAGAAAACAAACTTTCGAATTACTGTGCCACAATCCACAACACCGCAACTGACACCCATGGCATCCCGGCCTTAGATGCCCCGCATTGGGGGCACGTCGCCTTCAAACACCAACTCTGGGGTCAGGATTGTAAGGGAAAAACTCTTTTTTTCTTCTGCCGTCCACCCTACAACCCTAAACCTGGCAGGGCCTGTTGGGAAAATGCAGTCGCTATTGGTGCACACCGCTGCATCATTACTCACCCTAACTGGATGGAACACGGATCGCTAATGATTATATAGCTTGCGAAGGACTTCATCGGAATCCACCGAATCGTAGCCGCAGTCTACCACGGACAATCTCGTGATTGTTGGAGGCCTGCTTGGCCGGGTTTGGGCTTGAGCCCTCACGATAACTCTCCGCGCGACCCTGGCTACTGAAGTCTGGTTGAGACTTTCACGCGCAAGGCGGGATGTCGTCTTGAGCCATTGATTGGCCCAAAAGCGGTTCCTGCAAGCTGTGGGCACTTCGGTGACGGTGGCCCCAAAAGGGTGAGGACCTTGACTTAGGTTTTCGGCACCCCCTCCTCGCAGCAACCCAGAAAAATTTAAGATGATCTTGGCAAATCACGAGCTCTTGAGCCTAAGGCTGTAAGGAGGGGATCCGAATGTTGTGGGGACCATGAACCACCCCACCGCGACCGCACCTTGGAACCAAAGACCAGCCGCGTGTGGTTCACACATCCCGTATTTGGGCACCTGCAAGGCAAAAAACAACCTTTGCAAGCCAAAAAGTATCACCATGTGCAACGCTGTAACCGCCACAGACCATGAACTGGATCACAAAGGAACAGACTGCCGAAGCTCGTCAACATGAACACTGAAAGCCTCAACTTGCTTGTCTTTCAATTTTCACGAGCGATGATGTCTACCCCGAAATCACTAGCCGTGCACTGCAGGCCCAGCGACATGGGAAACCCTGCATTGAACTTGGATGCGCACAAACCAAAACGAGCCAACGGCCAACAGACGAAATTTCGTTAGCCATAACAAAACCCGGATTGCTCAACATGAACATGTCGACCACACACAGTGAAAGAATCTACACACTCTACGCTTTCAACCAGGCCACGCCCAGTCTTGATTCCCTGCCATGACCTGGGCGGCATCAAACATGCCAAAGTCGGCAGTGAGATCGTGTGACCATGCCAAATCATGCGCAGCTGTGTCGGCCAGTGCGTGTTTGGGACATAGTTGCGAGTCACTGCCTCCGGCACTTGTCCTACATGCTATCGCGCTTCAACGCTACAAAGTTCGGCAGGTCTCGCGCACTGCTACGATCGCTCGCTGCTCGTGTTCGCAAATCTGAAGCCGGCACTCGCGGTGGGCGTCTCCGCAAGCGAACCGTAAAGGGCCACTAACTAAAGCCGAAACCGGCAGCGAATGAGGTGATGCCCGCACATATAGCATGCAGTGTGCCAATGGCCCCGCTCACAGCCACACTTTTTCGCGAGGCCCTATTTTTTAGATCCTTTTGGGGGTCTGGGTCGGGCATGAGCACTTCCAGAAAGCGGCACTTGAAGGCTCTCGAAGCCTCCTTGAAGGGTCTGACCCTTCAAGCTCCTAACGAAGGTCGAAGCCCTCTTCAGACCTTGAGGGAGCCTTCAAGCCCCCCTTCGCTGAAAGGGTGGTGGGCCGGACGCTTTGACCCTTAGCAAAACTCCGGACAGCAGCCTACATTTTTCTTGCCGGTGCCAACGGATTCGTGCATTCAAGTCCCCTTCGAGAATTCTGGACAGCAGAATCCTCAAATTTGAAAAGCTTCTTCAAGGGAGCTTGAGAAGGGGACAAGGGGTTTCAGCGAAGGGGTTCAGCTCCGTTAAGAAGAGAAGCCTTTCTAGGGAACTTTCAAGAGCACAAAGTTGCTGCAGGAAAAAAAATTGAAGGAGCCTCAAAGGAGAAGTTCGAACACCAAAAAATTTTGAAGGAGCTCTTTCTGGGGAGGGTGTTCCAGTGCTCCACTCTGTGTTGACTACGAGCCTGGTTTCGAGACAAAGGTCAGAATTCGTTACTTCGAAGGCTTGTCGATTCTGCGGGCTCGAAGCCGCAGGGCTCGGAATCTTAGGGGCTCCGAAGTGCTTGCAAAAAACATTCAGGACAGCTTGCGAGCTTGCGGCTCCGGCTCGCTGCCTAACAGCTCCAGAGCGTGCGGGCTCGCTGCCTAACAGTTTCAGAGCGCGCCGGCTCGCTGCTTCACAGCTCCGGAACGCGGCGGCTCGCTGCCTAACAGCTCCAGAGCCCGACGGCTGACTGCCTAACAGCTGAAGAACGCGGCTGGCTGCCTTTCAGCTTCAATCCTGGACGGTTGGCGGCCTAACAGCTCCACAGCTCGACGGCTCGCTGCTTACGCATTGCCTGACAGCTCCAGAGCCCGACGGCTGACTGCCCAACGGCTCCAGAACTTCGGCTGCCTAACAGTTTCAAAGCCCGACGGCTCGCTGCCTAACAGCTCCAGAGCTCGACAGCTCGCTGCTTAGCAAACAAAGACTGCAACTCACGCGCACTCATGCGATCAAGCAGCTGTCTACTTGCACCCACATTGTCTTCGAAGACCTGACTGCAACATCCTTGATTCGGAACTGTCGAAAGA